ACATAATCTCGTTTCTCTACACTGCGGACTTTCGTCACTCGGAGTTAGGGAAACATGCACGTGTCGCGTCCGAGTCTCCGAGATAGCATAAGTTGGCTTACTACTAGAATTATCCGAAGTCATGACATTTCTAGATGTTCAAATAAGAGGTATTAATTTCAGAAAAAAGGCAAAGGTTTAATGTTCCTCAGGCGAGAGTTAAGAAATGAAATTTTGATTCTTTTATTTTTATTTTTCCATTAAACGAAACACCCCCTATTTTTTCTGTGCTTAAAGAACTAAACATTGTGTCACAACAGGACACCAGACTTATTAAATTTTTAAGAAATCGAAAGTTAAATTGTCACTTCAGAAAAAAGAAGAGAAAAAAAAAAAATGAAACCGTTTAACGCAATAAAAAGTATTTTTAGTAGTAATATTTCTACTTTCAATACTCCTTATCCCTAGATCAAACATCAGCACCCTATGTATTCTTGAGTTCTTGCGTTGTGGCCCTTTGACTAAGATTATAGTTAGTGATTTCAAAGGAGGTTTCCTTCAGCTTTCATTCCCATCATACACAAATACTCAACCTTGTATGATTTATATTATGATCTTATTGAAAAAAAGAAAATTATATTTTTTTATCAATATTTTCCAAATAAAATGCTTCTTCATCTAGTGAGTTCTTCGAGTAATTTCGAATTCCATATTCTTATCTTATCCGCATATGAAGGTCCTACAAAATCCGGGGTTTTAAATGTGTCCGGCCGATCCACCAAAACTTCCTGGTAGATAAAACTAAGCACAGGTTCAAAAACAAACCAAACTACAGTAGATCATAACTAGAAACAGGTTCAAAAACCAAATACATTATAGTCGCAATTGTTTTCATGTTTGCTTCAACTTCTAACACAAGACCTTTTCCACAAAGCTCCAGATGACCACCTTCTCGAAACTTTCCTTGAATCCTCCCAATGTTTATCTCAACATCAAGAGGTGTTGGAAAGCTTAAAAGCAAACTACAGAAGAGTTCTCCATTATTTCAAAATGTTTTGAACGATCTCCGTGAGTTGAATCTTTCTGAATATGACAAAATGTCGGCAAAATGGGATAATCTCACAAAAACGGAGGATATTTCTAATGGTAAAAAGAACGAAGCAACTTTACAAGAGACCAATGCGATTGGAGTTGTCCCAGTCACTGATCCTATAAAATCATCCAAAGAAATGAACGAGGTTAAGAATCTGAACTATAGAAATCTGCAAATTATATCACAACCTAAAAAAATGAATGAACACTTTTATCTGAAGTGGGCCAAGATTCCAGAACGCCCCATAACCCCGCAAAATTCATTGCCAGAGCAAAATGAGAGGGAATCTTTGAAAGAGGATCAAAAGAAACCTTCATTTGGTTTTCAAAAGTTCAAAACTCCTGATCTTTTACTTGGATCTATGAGCAAGCCACCTGAAACCTCGATATCTAAAGTGAAGGTACTGACCAAGGTGACGGATCTTAGCCTGAGAGAATACAAGCCCCATATACTCCAGGCCAAAATCTATTATCTTTGCAAAAACTATTCCTTCCTGGTTCAAGCTCTAAAAAATCGGCAATATGACTAAGGGTGAAGGGAAAATCAATTCACTTGGAAGGAAATCAATATTTCCTTCACACCATCCAACAAGCTAACAGAAGAGAGAAGTTCAGCAAAATGCTGATGTATCTCGGTATGGTGCTGATTACCAAGAGCGAAATTGGATGAAAGAATGATTCAGAACAATACGAAGGCGATCAGTAGTAAGTAGGCCAAAATCTTCCACACTATATTCAAGAGCAGATAAAGCAGAATAGTGATAGACCCACCCCAACAACAACTTCTGGCGTTTTTTGAAGAAGAAGAAGTTGCGAAGAAAACTCTCGAGACTAACGACATTTGCCAAAAGTAACTTCAAAGACATCTCGAATGTTGACAAGTTCACAATCTAGTATGCTTCTTTCCAAGGGAAAACCCAGCGATGAAAGAATCAACAATTTGCTAGAAAACTCACATATTTATATCATCAGAACCAAAGAAACCGCGTCGATTCTGAAATGGTCACAACAGTATTTCGGAAAGTGGCCAATTGACTCTGCTATTTGTCCCGAAGGTGACAAAAAGAGTATCAGTCCTGCCTTGTAAATGTTCACGAGGTCGCTCGAAGATTTTTGATGTGAACATCACTTACGAAAATTTTGGACGATGAGCTACAAGACGAGAAGTTTTCAAAACGTTGGGAAAATGGACTTGAAATCCCAAATCCCACCGAATCTGAAGAACGACGAGCAAAACATTGTTAATGGTTACGATAGTGAAGATGAAGATATAAGACTTTAACCGCTAAGGAATATAACACTGGGCTAACTAAGATCGATAGCAATTACTTTTTACAAAAATCTGTAGCTATGCTAGTTTTAAGTCTATTATTTATATATTCGTTCAAAGCTTTTACCAATTTGATATTTGGTTTTATGCCCTCCTTCGGATATAATTACTCCTACAAAGGTAATCATAGAAAACTTGAATCAGAAAGTCTCAGAAAGTGCACGCATGGAAGAGATCGTGTACTCGTAGATGGCCCATTGAAAAGCACTGGTGGGAGCAGTTTTTATAATAAGGCTTACTCCAAAAACCTCTGTAGAAATTACAAAACCATAAAGCAAGCACGCCAGTGGTCGAGTAACATTCTAAAAGCCTTAGGACCCGGAGAAACTTGCATGCGTTTACGAATTGTATCTAATGGAAAGGTGATTGCCTTGGCCGTAACTCCCGCCACAAAAACCACAAATTGCTCTAACCCCCCCAAATCTTGCCAGGGGTGGTAACTTTGTTGATGTTATCTATCGTTCCTCTACTAAAGAGTACGACCAGAAGAACGAGACCCGAAGTTGCCAGCAACAGATAATAGAGATGGACGAATAACCCACAAAAAAGCCCTGCTAATCCATTTGATACATAAATGTTTTTACATGTATCTTTCATTGAAAGCAATGATTTCGACTCGTTCGCCGCTAAACGTGTCCTCAATAAGTCAAAGGGATCTGTTACAACAAGCGTACTAAACCAAACCTGTTCCACCTCCAACAAAAAAGCATATGTGTCAGTGGACTTATGTGTATTTGCTCTGATTTTGCAAATCAGAGAGCCAAGTGTTTAATATAGAATAGGACGTGACGAAACCGGATTTTGATTGTATCGAGAGGTGCGGTTACAGCTCTAGCGTATTAGTAATTTGAAGATTTTTTTGTATTTTAGATTTCGAATCGAACATACCTTGCAACTACTCCTGATATTGAGCCAGCTATTAGTGACTCCACGGTGTGTAGTTGTACATTTGGATCCTTTTTAAACTGATGATCTCTGCGCGTTCAGTGGCTTGTCGACATAACTTTACCCTCGACAACCCAATACCAAAGACGTGAGATGATCGGTATTTAAGTTACAACTGCTGAGATGAGAATTCCAAGAATTGTACTTAATCTTTTGTTACAAAGTTTATATGGTAACTTAAATGTCTTTTTTGGTTGTCCAGTTGTACGAGGATGTAAATGGTTATCACGGTGAAGATTTAACTGTTGTGGTGAGTAATATGCACGCCAAAAAAATGGATTTCCCGGGGCCAACAACTACTTTTCTTTATCGAGAACCTGGAAAATATGGAATGTCCTCAAATCCGGCAAATTGGAGCCTGATGTATATACAACGTAATAAGATCTCAGGGTAATAATAGAAATCAATCTCGGATGTTGTCCGAGAGTTGTACATAAACTCGGTCGATGCAGTTGCCTCTGCTGTTTTCGATATATCACCAAATCGATATCTTGAATCTTTAAGCATTTGCGTTGAAGACAATGGGGCTGGTATTTCACCATCTGACATGGAATTGGTCGGAAAAAGATACTATACAAGTAAGTATAGCGAGAAAGAGGGGCTTATATAGATTCTCATAAAGAGGATTCTGGGGTTATGAGAGTCTAATTCCCGAAGTAACCGATCGAAACCTTGGGGTTAGAGGCGAAATCTCTTCTGCTTGTATTGGCAAGACCAATGCTCCAAATTGATGATAGTGTCGAATTTTTGCGGTGTATGGTTACTCGACAGTTTTTGAATGGGTCCATAAACCTGGGCTATATTGGTAATATGCTTTTATCTTTTTTCGGCATAGACCTCTACCCTACTGGGCACCGTTGTGATCATCAGCAGACGCTTCTTTCATAATATGCCGTTAAGAATGAAATATACCCGGGAAAAAGTGTCACAAACGTTCAATTTGCCTTTGAAATTTAGAAAGATAATTTTTCGGACTTTCGCTCACCGCTCTTTCACTAGGATTACAGCAATCGACCTTCCCCTTAGACAAGGGAGAACCACAAAACTTTTGTTTCACTACATTTTCAATTGTAACCCGAACGAAAGACTTTTTTGTCTCCCTATTTCGCATGTTTCATTTTCATTCCTTCGAAATATTTGTGAAAAAGCCATGATGAGTTTTCTCTTCAAGGATTTTTCGGGGTCTCATACGAATAAAACTCTCCATGAACTTCATATTTTGCCAATGGATTGCCTGTTCAAACTCACACATAAAAAACTGGCACAAATACTTTCGCTTTCTAAAATATTCTTATACGATCTGAATAAGACTTCAAAGTCGGCCACGGATGCGTCCTTAGTGTTTGCTTCAATACGAAAACGAGAAGATGATACGGAAAGAGCTATTGCGCCACCCCAATGATCAATTCCAAAAATGAGTTGGAAATCTTTTTGACGGCCTTTTGAAACTGTAGCTTGGAATACCTATAGAAGCTCTGAAGAAGAAAACGCGAATGGAAATTAAAAGATTTACCCGACAATTCAGACCACAATTGCAAAAATAACAACGACATCGATCAGATATCCACCCATACAGTTAATCCAGAAGCTATATACGGTCGTGTCATTGGACCTACAAAGGGGAAATTTCAAAATTATTTCACAGGTTGATAGGCCTGTTCATTATTGCGGACCCATAATGACAAACTATTGTGTTCTTGATCACACATGCTTTGGACGAAAGAATTCACGGTTCGAATTATTATTTCAAAGTTATATGGAGCAGGCCTCCAACCCTGACTTGATTTGCCGTTATAAAATGCAAATCAGAAACATCAGATAAATTTTTTTCTTACAGAAAGAAATCCCCTTCGTTCGAAGAAATGCAGGTTTCATGAATCTGCTTGGGTTTGACTACAAAGTTGAAGATAATACTGTCATAGTGACCCACCTTCCCAAATATCTTCACAAATACAATGACCCCGTGTTGTTAAAGTCATGTTTGATTCAATTTTTCCAATAAAGATGAAAATGAATACACCATAGTCAAGAAAATAACCAGAATCACCAGGGTGAATGGCTCCTACATATTGAAAGTCTTCCTACTGTAGTTAAAAGACGCAATTATTAGTATGGCCTGCCGACTGAGCATTAAATTTGGCCAGATAACTCACAGTTGAAGAAAGGATTAGCGGTTTAAAATTACTAGGATCTTGTTCTTTACCCTTTCAATGTGCTCATGGGCGGCCTACTGTGTTTCCAGTAGGAAATATCACGCCTTTCAGAGAGTTTATGGATGACTATGAATTGTGAAAATTACCCAATCATTATTTATATACTGCATAGAACTAAACACGACTTCAAGTCTCATCAAAAAGTCACTGGTTTCATGAAATGAACCTTCCAAGAGCCAATACACCAGAAATGTCTGATCATACTATCTCAGACCATTTTTTATACAAAAAAGGGTACAGATATTGCCGAGGGCAATACCGCTTTTCAAAATTCTACCTTATCTTTCAGAAAGTTGGCTACGCCATATGTGAATGAGACGAAGAATAATGTTTCCTTTCAGAATCAAGAATCTATTCCTTACAATAAATCAACGCAACCAATTTCCATACCTTCAACCATCAATGATAAAACAGATTTAAAGGCTTTGAATGATTTAACTTATTGGGGCTAGATAATCAGAAAAAAGACCCTCTGTCTTTTTTTAATGACAACTTATTTTTCGCGGTTATAGCCTCCAAAGTACCAAGTTCAGACGATGTTCAATATAGTAAATACCTTTCGGGGACGGGTCCTGTTTTAAATCGAATGATTTTCTTCCTTCCTAATGCCTCTCTACCGCAAAAGGACAAAAAATCCAATAATTGCAATTTGAGGAGCCACATGAATATAAATGGCAGGAATAATTAACGATGATTGGGAAGACTTAACGATGAGGAAGAAGATACTTTTTTTGGTAATCAAAATAATCCCACAGGAGAATGGACAAGCCCAGTTGGTTAAGGAGGGGCATTAAACAGACAGGTTCAGCAAAGAGATACAATTTAAAAAACTCTTTGGAAAGAATGTTGTAGGGTTATTTGGCGCACATTTTTTCTTTTCTTCCTTTTATCTGAACGAATTATTCAGTATACACCAGATAAATAATTATGGACTGAATGATAAACTCAGGAAAGTATTTTTACTGCAAGTTCAATCTCAGCTGATGCGCTCAGCATGTTCGAGCCTATCTTGAAAAAAATCCACATTTATGGTCGTCGTCTGCTATGGTTACTCGTTGCATAATAATAGTTAACGTCGTGAAGTTTGCCTGGCCTCAAGATCAGTGCAAAGATTTACCTTTAAACTCTGAGACAGAGAGAATTAATTGGGCTTAAACCCTTACGAAGGAATCGAAGATAGTACGGATGAATTCCAATTTGAATACTATCGAAAAGGTTGTTTGAGAGCAAGTCCCCTCATAATCTCCCAAAGTTCCCAAATACCCCGGTGTAAACAACTTTTCGAATATATTAGAAAGAAAGACAATGGTGTTTGCAGAGGAGATTTCAATATCGCTTTACAAGAGGTTAGTTCCTTATCGCAAACTTTTCCGCCTCCTAAGGTTTATAGATCTCTATGAAATAATAATCAATCTCTAATACCGTAGGGAGGAAATGCGGACTTTAATTTTATAAGTTTGAATTTAGGTGAATTTCTACTCCATGAATGGTATTTTTTTTTGGCAAAAAAGTCGAACTACTTAGGTTAGAGGCAATTGAACCACTATTCAAGAAGTGAATTCAAAATTTACAATATTTTTTATGTTGCGGAGTAGTTTCAGATGTAAAACCATAACCGTATTTTTGATCAACGAGCTGAGATTCTTTAAGAATTGGCGCCTCGTGCGATGTGCCAAATCACATGCCAGTCGGGGAAGGAGTGGACGTCCAGTAAAAGACAACAGCTTATTGAATATTAATATCCTATTTTTATCGTTTGTATGTTGCACGCAACCAATGAATTTAAATCTTAGAAAAAGAAAAGAAGAAAGAAAGAAAATAATAAATACGATAAGAACAATATTAAAATCAAGCCTGAGAAACATATTAACCTAACGGTTATTACATTTTAAAGAAAAGAGCCTCCGTACTTTAACATGCCAGGTACGCGAAGACCGAAAAAGATCCAAAAGATTTCGAGAGAGCAAGGAAACTGAAGTTCGCCAAATTTGGGGGGGGGATGAGTCCACCTGGGAAGGTATTCATCCACTTCGTTCGACTTCCACTTCCCTGGAGCTCGTGGTGTTTATGGGGGTCATACTTGTGCACAGACACTTTTAGTGGCTATGAAATCTGCCCCGGGGTATGTTCCGGCATTCATTTCACTCCCATTTCATTAAGGGCGGGAAATCCCAAAATTAAATGTGTTTATAAGTAAAATGTTGAATGATGGGGGATTATTTTGTCAGAGACAAATAAACTTGATTCAAAATGAAAAAGTGACGTATACAGCCATGTGTCGATGAAGAAGAAAAACGTTTGACCATGACAACCACAGACATACGTACACGAAAACCTAAAATGAACCCAAAATCCAGGGACAATCGCCTAATCTTATCTTTATAAAACCTACCATACAGATTTTATCGTAAACGCATTTTCTGACGATTTCTAAGTACGAGC